TGTGCCCATGTGGGGATTCGAACCCAGGTCTTCGGCATGACGAGCCAACGCTTTAACCACTAGACTATCCCACCGCCCCTATACGCCTTAAAGCTAACGCCGTGGATAAGAGATTATATTCTCTCGAGTGTATTATTTTGTTAGTATTATACCACGATAACACTCATGCAAAAGTCGGCCCATACTGTTTAATACACACCAAAGGCAACGTGCTACACTAGTCAGATGTTCAGTTGATGGCAACTAAAACGTTCCATACATTCGTAAAGAATCCTGTCGTTTTATTACTTTGTTTCGTGATTTAACATGGGTTATATCAGCGTACCAGTAGAGTGTAAAGTTGCCTCATATTGTTTAATATTAACTTGATGTACCGTGTTACACAAGCCAGTCCATGATATATCCTCTTATATCTTTTCGTAAAGACAATTTTGTATCTAAGAAACCTCTCTCTCTTGGTTATAGAGCGCAAGGTCGTTGACTCATGATAACCCACACTGTGAATGTACTTCACTATACTAAACGCGTAGCTAATAAGCTCTACAACTCGGGGTCTCGTGGTTTGTATCATGGTACAAATGGAGTGTAAGTGTAGCTGAAACTTTTAGTGTAAGCTCTATCACCTTGGTTTTATGATTTACTCTGTATTATGTCATGGCCTTAATAGAGAGCAAATGCGTAATAGAACACCTACATCACCAAACTAATGGTACAGTAAAAAAGTACTGCCAGTGTCTTTCTTGGTTCACGATTCAGTTTGTATTATATCATGGTACTGGCAGTGTGTAAAGGTTGTTTCATACTGCGTAGTATATACATCACCAAACTAATGGTGTAGTCAAGACGTATTATCTCCCTTATTTCATTACTCTGTTTGTATTATATCATGGTACCAACAGTGTGTAAAGGTATTTCATACTGCGTAGTATATACATCATCAAACTAATGGTGTAGTCAAGAAGTATTTTCTCCCTTGTCACGACTCAGTTTGTATTATATCATGGTACCAACAGTGTGTAAAGATATTTCATAGTGCGTAGTATATACATCATCAAACTAATGGTTTTTTCTATGTCCATGATCCAGTTTGCATTATATCATGACATCAACAGTGTCTAAATTTTATGTAAGGTTGTTGCACAGGGGTTATAAGAGGCTGCAAAAAATGTTTTTGGAAAAATATTGAATGTGGAGACTGGAACCTTATACTTGATCCTAACCTGAACCTGAAAAACTGTAAGAAATCAATAACCCCAAAGCACGGAAGTATATCTTAGAAAAAAATAGAAAAATATGACCTAATTGATGCTTGGCGGCAAATGAATGGTAATACAAGAAAATATACATGGTGGCGGAAAAACCCTAGACAACAGGCTCGTCTTGATTTTTTCTTAGTATCAGAAAATCTTTTTAATTTGACCTTGGAGTCTAATATTATCCCTGGATATAAATCTGACCTCTCCGCCATCACACTATCACTCTCAAATAACCTTAGTAAAGAAAGAGGAAAAGGATACTGGAAATTTAATGCCTCGCTGTGATACCATAAGGAATTTGTGTCTAATGTTCAGAAGATCTTACACGAAACAAAAATTGAATACGCAGATGATGATCAAATCGACGATATCATTGAAGATATTGTTGACTTGGATATTAAGTTTAAATCTCTGACGGTTTATTCCTAGAGACATTGCTTATGGAAATACGAGGCTACTGTATATCTTTTTCATCATTTATAAAAAAAAGAGAAATGTAACAAACTCCAGAACCTAGAAAACAAAATAACTGTAATTGAAGATGACATTAGAAAAGACTATCAAAATATAAATGAAAAGACACTTGGAGACCTCTCTAGACTTAAAAGAGAATTTGAAAATATGAAAGAAGAAGAAACTAGGGGACAACTTATAAGAACACGACTTAGGTGGTATGAAGAAGGAGAAAAACCTTCAAATTATTTTTGCAATTTGGACAACAGAGACTATACAAATAAACTAATCAATAAAGTGATAAAGAGTAATAAATGTATAATAACTGATGGAAAAGAAATAAGAAATGAACTAACTTTTTTATGAGACACTATATGCAGAGCAATCCGAAACCGACCACGAGATGGCTGAAAACATACTGACTGACTGACTGAGTTTGGTTTTACGCCGCTTTTAGCAATATTCCAGCAACATCACGGCGGGGGACACCAGAAATGGGCTTCACACATTGTGCCCATGTGGGGATTCGAACCCGGGACTTCGGCGTGACGAGCCAACGCTTTAACCATTAGGCTACCCCACCGCCCGGAAAACATACTGGAAACAATAGATACTCCAGAAATGAAAGATGATTTATTTGATAGACTGGAAGAACCAATTAAACTCAAAGAAACAGCAACTGCCGTAAAAAGCATGAAAAATAATGAGTTCAGGAACTGATGGATTTCCAGTGGAGTTCTGTAAATCTTTTGTGAAAGACAAAGGAAAATGGATTTTTAGGTTTATTTCAGAAGCGTTTGTGGAAGAAAAGCTATCAGATACTGTAAACAGAGGTGTTACTACTTGCTTACCAAAAGTAATAAAGATAGAAAATACCTAAACATTGGCGCCCCATCTCGCTATTAAACACTCTTTACAAGATCTTAAGTACGTGTATCACCAACAGATTAAAAAACACTCCAGAATCTCATTGATGGAAATCAAACAGGATTCATACCTGGGCGATGTATTACTGATAATATTAGAAACCTGTATGACATAATATATGAGTTGCAAAAAGAGGATAGACCGGGCCTGTTAATTTTAATAGATTTTGAAAAGCATTTGATACTGTTTCAAAACAATTTATATTCAAAGTGTTAAAGAAATTCGGTTTTTGGCCAAAAATTATAAAATGGATTAGAATCCTCACTAACAACGCTAACTCATGTGTAATTCAAAATGGTCACCTGTCCTCTTTTTTCAAAACGACCGGGGATGTTGTCAGGGCGATCCAGTGTCCCCATATCTCTTTCTTTTTGTTGCAGAGGTACTTGGAATTATGATCAGAAATAATGTCCACATAAAAGGAATAGAAGTAACTAATAAAGAACCTAAATTAGATCAATACGCTGACGATACAGAACTATTCCTTGATGGATCTGAGAATAGCTTGAAGACTGGACACTGGACACTTTTCACCAAATTTCTGGACTTAAGGTGAATATTGAGAAGACCAAAGCAATATGGCTAGGAACCAAGGCAGACTCTAATGTAACACTATGTGAAGATAGAAAATTAAATTGGATAAAATCTGACTTCGTTAACTTTTGAAGCTATTGATTATCTATTACCATTACTTGTCATGTGTGATATTTTTTGCAGTGTGACTAAATCCTTCTCTTTGTATCTATACAGTATCATGAATGTACCTCGTAATGGCACAACGGTATCAATTCTCCTAAAAGTTGATACATCACTACCTGACACCTGAATCTGTATTGCTCGTGAATACTTTCTCCCTCTGTATTGGAAAAGGTTTTTAACAGGAATACGTATATGCACAATTGTAATAATACTGGAACTATAACTTGCTATCAACCTATGTCAGTTTGCTTTTTGTTTAAGCAAACACTACACCCTGTCCATCAGTACAGCTACCTTGTATGAAGTGCATAGCTGCCTTGTAAGAATTGTATGAACTTATGTGCCATAGCATGAACACGTTCTTTATTAAAGCAAACACTACACTCTGTCCATCAGTACAGCTACCTTGTATGAAGTGCATAGCTGCCTTGTAAGAATTGTATGAACTTATATGCCATTGTATGAACACGTTCTTTATTAAAGCAAACATTACACTCTGTTCATTAGTATAACTACCCGGTATAAACCGTATGAACTTGTAGGCTACTGTGCAAACAGGTAACCATATACAGTGTTGCTTTATATACTAATGTGTGAGCATGTTCTTTATTAAAATAAACACTACACTCTATCCACCAGTATAATTACCCTGCAGGAACTGTAGGAACTTGTATGCTACTGTACGAACACGTAATCATATACAACATATTGTTCTATATACTGCTGTACGAACATGTAACGTCTGGTGTACTGAATTAAAATTTGAAAAACAAAACAAGAAAACATACAATGTCGGTGTTGATTTCATTGAGTCTACGTCAAGTCTCATATGAATACTCCAAATGACGTCATGATAATGTTATCTGAGAAAGTGATCAAGTATATTCGATATTTGTATCTGATTACAACGGTGATCCTCAAGTCACGACATTGATATCATCCCTGTAGATTAACGAAGCCCAACAGAATATTATGTTCAAACATGAGTAGAGACGTTTAAGGTTATATTATTAGGGATCCATGTTGTAGGAGGTGAGGTGAGGTGAGATGTACATATTTCGTTCATATGACGCCGTGCATGCGTGTGTATGTATGGCTGCTTGTACTACCCAAGTCTTAAGCTGGTTTTATAGTGCTAGCTCACTGAGATACCATGACGCAGTTTAGCATAAATACCCCACTCAGACACATTATACCAGCCGACCAGTCCTTCTTGTACCCATTAAGGCAGGGACCAACAAGTACCATATTTTTAGGTGGGGCGCGGGCGGGGATCGAACCGGGCGGACGCTCTAACCACTACAACCACGGAGGCGGTCCCATGTTGTAGGATTCTGAAAGATAACAAGCATTCACAATAGGACAAATTCGTTATCTTTTAAAAAAATAACACGTGTCAACGGCCTCGGGAACGTGTCCCCCGCCGTGATATTTCTGGAATATTGCTGAAAGCAGCGCAAAACCATACTCAGCTGCATTTCTCGTAAAAGTGTTTATTTTTACCAAAAGATTTTAATAAAAATGAAAAGTGATCTTCTATTTGAATCATTCTAAAGTTTTTATCTATCTCCCGTTACAATCATATTTTTAATCATCGAGATTATAGTTCTGTTCCCGAGATATGCAAAAGCACAAAAGTTCGGTCCGATTGTCGAAGCACAAAGAGTTACGTCCCTTTGTAAACAGCATGGCCGATTCATCAGCTAAAGGGCATGATATGTCCGTTGAAAAATCACAGAAGCAAAAAACGGTATGAAGAATATAAATCGTTTGATTCCTTTTTCATCAGTCATATAAGAATCTTAAATCCTAGTCTGGTTGTACATTTTTGTTTGATACTTTCGAATCAGTCATTTCGTTCAGTTTTCGATCAACAACTTGCCATTCATGGTCTTTAGACTTTAGATCAATCTGTTTGTTGTTTTAGGCCAAACTCGAATATTACAGGCATTTAAGTCGGTATGTTAACAATGGAATCTTGACCGGACAAGCTGTTATGAGACACAATCCACGCCCTCGGGATACGATACCATGCAAATCAAATGACTTAACAATCGTGGTTAACATGTATTTTAAACATAATGATTATGATTTAGGGTGCTTGACCACATCACGTCTCTCTATGCTAACTTACAAACTGGTTAGCAAACCTACCTTACCCCAAATCAACAAATGTTTCCAGACAGTAAACGTAATATGCATGATGAGGTAATAATGTGACTGAATATTTGTTTTGCAGCCTCAAGAATGGAAAAAATGGAAAGAGGAAAGTAAGTATGATGTGCAAGCACTTAGTTGATTCAAGATGATTCAAGTCAGTGTTTGAAATGACCCAAAATGCCAGATAACATCAGGACCCACAGACTTCTGAACCTGCAGCACACAGATTAAATGTTATTCATTCATCTTCAGGTCCAGATTAAAAGAAAATGCAGCTTATTGTGACATTAAATCAACATTCAAACTTACTGCATGCCAAAGGGACTAGAGGTGTGAAGATACAGAAATTTCGCGATACCATATGTATCGCGATAGCTTGGAACGATGCGATACGATTTCGATGCATATCACGATATGCAGTCTTTAGTTATTTTCTTAAAAAAGCATATTTTAATAGCATGTACCAGTGTAAATTTTGACATAACTGTCAATTTCTGGTGAAAATTAACAACTTTAAGGTCAACGATACATATCACGATACGAAAAAAAGTATCGATATATTTATCATCAGATAAAGTATCACGAATATCGATACTATGATACATCGTCACAGCTCTAAAAGGGACCAATAGAAATTTGAAACTACAGGTCTGAAACAGGTTTTGGTGGAAGTACAGTTCTCAAACTAAATAATTGTGATTGAATAAACATATCATTTGATCAATGTTCTTTTTGTCATAGCAGTTAAGTGCAACTAAGTGCAAGACACGACCACATGAAGACACAAGCTAAAAAAAACAAGATAGGTGGGCAGATGCATACATGCACTGACACATCACTATAATATATTGAGTAATATATTACGTTAAACTTCATTACACCTCACCTGTTGTTGATGATGTTGCAGAGAAGGCAAGGAAGAAGAAGTGGAGGGAACAGAAGTTACTAAATATGATGGAGAAGGAGAAGAACAAAGAACGGAAGAAAGAAGAAGCAGAGGAAATGCGTCTCAAACAGGAAGTCGAGGAACAGAAAATATATGATCGGCTAGGTAGGATTTTAGCAATATTCCAGCAACATCATGGCGAGGAACACCTGAAATGGGCTTCTCACATTGTACCCATGTGGGGAATTGAACCTGGGCCTTCGGTGACAAGTGAACACTTTATCCCACTAGGCTACCCCACCGCCCCTGCAAAGTAGTGTGGACAAGGTCCAGGTATGCAAGTTGGCACTATCCCATTAGAAACAATCAGTTTGTCTTTTGGGTGAAGTAAAAGCGTAAATATCGTTATCCCCCATGTGTTTGTTAATGGTACCATTACACTAGAAAATGCTGGATTTAGATTGGTTTATTAGAGGTTTCAAATCTCAATATCCACCTCTGACTGAAACCGGTGATTTGATACTGACAATGCTGTCGAAGCAAATAGTAATATAAAAATACTCATTCATTGTTCATAGGTAATTTGAAATGATAGTAGGTGAGGTGAAATTGGGTTTAACGTCATGCTTGAGAATATTTCGCTCATATAACGACGTGCATGCGTGTGTATGTGTATGTGCGGCTGCTTGTACTAGCCCAGACTTAAGCTGGTTTTATAGTGCTAGCCCACTGAGATACCATGCCGCAGTTAAGCATGAATACCCCACTCAGACACAGTATACTGACTCCTAGCCGACCAGTCCTTGTTGTACCCATTAATGCCGAGCGCCAGGCAGGGACCAACAAGTACCATATTTTAACGTCTTTTGGTATGAAGCGGTCGGAGATCGAACCCGCAACCTTCCGCTCTCCGGGCGGATGCTCTAACCACTACACCACGGAGGCGGTCTTGAAATGATAGTAACTGCAATTTTAAGTCATAACTACTGATTCAGCATTCTGTTCCAAATTCGACCAATGAAAATCCGGGTCAAACTTTATCTTCAGTAACCCATGCTTGTCATAAGTGACGGGATTGGGTGGGCAGGCTCGCTGACGTGGTTGAGACATGTCATTGTATCGCAATTTAGTTGATCGATGCTCATGTTGTTGATCACTGGATTGTCTGGTCCCGATTTTTTACAGACTGCCTCCATATAGCTGGAATATTGCTGAGTGCGGCATAAAACTAAACTCACTCACTCACTCCTTTTCAAATTCAGTTGATCACCCTCAAGTAACAGAGAGTCAGCTCACAGATTTATCTAGAGTCTAGAAAAATGTTTCCGGGGCAGCACGTCCCATTTTCACTTAATTATGTTCCAGATCGTGTAAATGTTGTTATGACTAATGTAAATTTTATATGGAGGTGACGTCCATGCCAGTCATGACAACACAGTAATGGGGAACAAGATTTTGTGGTGTCCAGACTCAATTATCAGTGTTCACGAATAGCGTCTGACCCTCTGACAAATCCGACAGATTCGCCAAAGGTCTGATAGAAGTCTACAACCCACCAGCCCCAGTGTCTGACTCAGACTGTATATTTCACAATGACTTTGACTGAAGTTGTTATATGTGACATGTGATACTTGTTTGCTGTTTATAAATCTTATGTTTGTTAATAATTTCAATGCCAATTATAAGAAATGTTAAATCTGAAATGTGTGTTTAATTTTATTCTTTGGGTCCTGTGAATTTTCAATGGGTCAGACAGACATCTGAAGCTTACAGGACCCAATGTCCTGTTACTTTGAAACACCATTCGTGAACACTGAATTATTTACAGACCATGCCATGTAGTTGGAGTACTGCGTTAAACAACCAACAAGCAATACAAACGATAGTGTGGAAAGACAAACAAGCCAAGACATTGATGATGACAACTAAATGAATGTTATCTGATGAAAATGACAGCTGTTTTGCTTTTTGTCTTAAGTCCTTTTTTTTCTATAGGAAGAAAGTACACTGTGTCGATTGCTCTGCCTGGGTCAATCTTGGACAATGCCCAGTCTCCAGAACTCAGAACCTATCTGGCTGGACAGGTGAGCTTAGTGTACTTACTTCTTTAGCCCTTGGATACCCGTTACTAACATCTTTAGGGTTAGTTTAACGAATATAGTTAGGGTTAGGGTTAGGTAAGCGTTAGGCAACTTTCCCACGCTCATTCCCCCCAACTCCCAGAATTCCGTAGCTTCGTTTTTTCAAAGACACATATATATTTTATTTGTGATAGCTTACCTTTCATTTTCAAAATCACTGGTTAGTCTTACTGACCGGAAGTCCTCCCAAATAGTGCAATTTTTATGGTTATTTTTTATTGTGGTGCTCCCTTATTTTTCAAATTTTATGGCTCGTTCTTTCCTATGATAGAAGTGCATGTGACACTAAAGACTATGGCTGGTAGGTATCTGGTATTCTGTAACTGTATCGAAATCCATGCTTATCTTCTTCTGCTCTGTAATTGAAGTTGCTATGCAGAGTTATGTCCCTTAGATGTGTCATAATCCTATAATCAGAGTTCAGTTATGATAATGATAAAAACAGGTGGCTTTTGTTTACAGTGTATGAATGCAGTGTTGGAATCCTGAACAGTTTTTTGAGTGTTATTTGTTTCAGATTGCACGTGCGGCTGTGGTGTTTAAAACCGATGAAATCATCATTTTTGATGAAACTGGATCCACATCTTCGTGAGTATCTTTTGGAATTTGTTGTTGCCCTGCTTTGGCAGTAAAGGGGTTAAACTAGGACAGGATGGCTCGAGTCACTGTAGGGTTCGTAAGTAGGTCACGGCACTTCGCTAGACCTTAGTATTTATGGTGGCAAACAACGTTTCATACCGCTTTGAATGGTCTCATGGTTGTCAGTTGACAGTAAGGAACTGATAAGCCTTTCAGGAAAACAAATTTCTGATCTAACCATCCCCAAATTAACCAACTATTACAACTGTCAACTGCTATGGGGGCGGTGGCGCGGTAGTCTAGTGGTTAAAGCGCTATTTGCCAGTCAAGACCCTGGGTTCGAATCTCCACATGGGTACAATGAGTGAAGCCCATTTCTGGTGTCCACCACCGCAGGATATTGCTGGAATATTGCTAGAAGCCAAGCGTGGAACCAAACTCAGTCAGTCAGTCAGTCAACTGCTGTGACAGCTGAAGCACTGGTTGTACACTCTGGAGTCCGGCCCTTGTAAAGTCATATTTGCCGGTCATGCACTCTGGAACTAGAACGGGTTCTTGAATATACAGGAAATTTGGTACCAGAAGTCAAGCTGGGCCTGTCGTGCATTTCACAAGTTAGTGCACGCAAAGGGAGCCGGGAACCAGCTTAGTACCAAAAGTAGCACCTCGGGAGACTTACAGGCCCTATATTGTGTTAGAGGGGTTTTCATGTTTGACTTGGTGCTCCTATTATGTAAGGGATCGCTCATAATTAATGTCTGGTGGGGTGATGATGATTTGTTCTTGGGATGTAGTGGGGGTCCCAAATTTTGTACATATGTATGTGTGTGTGTGTGTGTGGGGTGGGGTTCCTGCAATTTTGTACATAAGGCCAGACCAATTTACTTTCTTGTTTTACGGATGTTTGTCCTCAGAAAACCTAAAGGCAGGAGGGGAAAAAATATAAAATAAAAATCGCTAGTCCAAATAACTTTCCTTTTAAATGCTAAAAGTGTTTTATTTTGGGCAATTTATGAAGTTTATATGGGGCAAAAACCAATTAACAATTTTTTTTGGGCAAGTTTACATTTTTGGCCAATAAAAACATGAGGATTTTACTTTTTGAGCGGGGAAAATTATTAATATTTTTTTTTCTTATCCTTGAAAAAATACGACCCGGTGGATCCGTTAAGCAAGAAATAAAATTGGTGTGGCCTAAAAACATGGGAGGAGGGGGTGGCATTGATTTTGTACATGACATGCATAGGGGGGGCATGCTTCTCCTAAAAAATCATCATCACCCCCCATAAATTATGGAAGGTCCCAAAATTTGCCATTATTATCTTTCATTCCTTTCACTACATTACATCCATGTTGTGTTTGTGTGTTCAAGGACGACCGAAGGCGACTTTGCAGGGATAGGGAAGAAAGGCCAGGCCAATGTCCAGATGGCCCGCATCCTGCAGTACCTAGAGTGTCCCCAGTACCTGCGCAAGTCTTTCTTCCCCCAGCACAAGGACCTGCAGTATGCTGGTGAGTTGACACGTTGGTGCTGTCATATACCTTGTGGGGGCGGTCGGGTAGCCAAGTGGCCCAATAATCTTCTATAGTGCACAGTCTCCAAACACCAAGTGTTTGCTTGCGGCGCTTAATCAGAATCTGATTCTTATTACCCCGGATAACCCAAGCTGCCTGTTAGGCGCTAGAAGGTTGTAGTCACATGACTTTATCCAACCGGGTACCCATTTTCTGCTGGGTGAACAGTGGCAATTTCGAACAAACTCACTTGCCTAAGGTGAGACCACATGTATCACATGTGCTTCTTGTGGGGCAGGACTGAAGTCCTAGAAACTCTCAGGAGTCAAGCTGCCATACACGGTCTCCAATCCAAGAACTGTCCGAGCTCGACGTTGCAACTGATTTGTGACCTGAGCTCTGTGCACAGGACCACAGGCCACCACAGACCCAGGTTTGATTGTACCCACATGGGTACAATGTGTGAAGCCGATTTTCTGGTGTCCCTTGCCATAACAGGGGTGGAAATAACCCATTGCCTGACGTCCGAGTCCAGTGTTTTTTCTATCGGGTAAGCACATTTGTATATCACGCTGTACCGGTGTCCGGTTGGCATTCCAATGTTAATTATGTTGCTTATATAAAAAAATCACCAAAAAATCGGCCGGTATAGCGGAATAATGATCAGGGCAAGTGATTTCACATGTGCCACTGTACCGGAGTACACTAGCAATTTTAAAGTTATTTCCACCCCTGCATGATATTGCTGGAATATTGCTAAAAGCGGCGTAAAAAGACACTCACTCACCCACTCACTCACTTACTTGTGGTTGAAACTTTAGGGGCCTTCTACGTTTCCACACTCTGATGTGAGTGCTAAGACAATTTTAACTCTAAGACAGTCTTAGTGCTGAGATAATTGTAGGAGTGGTGGGTAGCCTAGTGGTTAAAGCTGTTAAGTGCTAAGTCACCTTAGTGCTAAGAAAGACCGGGTTCGATTCCCCACATGGATACAACTTGTGAAGCCGATTTCTGGTGTCCCCGCACGCATGATGTTGCTGGAATATTGCTAAAAACGGCGAAAACCATACTCAGCCAGCCAGCTAAGATAATTGTAAGTCCCATTCTTTAACTTAGACAAACAAAGTGCTGAGCTGATCATAACTTTTACATTATAGACTAACACAATCGTAACTTTCATACATTAAGGTAGAGTTAAGAACGCCAAAACTTGACATTGTAGTGATGAGTAGTTCAATAAACAAAAACAAAAACACTTTGATTCGCCAGGACTTATCATTAATCTAAACAAGGTATTAGGTGTTTGAGCAAGGTCAATCGTAAGTGATATATGTTTTATTACTCTTCAGGACTGCTGAATCCCCTGGACTGTTATCACCATTTGCGTATTGATGACGTCAGCACATACCGGGAAGGTGTGGTCCTCAACAAACCAATCCGAGAAGGGAGGGGGTCGCGTTCGTCAATGTGGGGCTCTACAAGGTAATCATGTGAGTGAGTTTAGTTTTACGCCGCACTCAGCAATATTCCAGCTATATGGCGGCGGTCTGTATATAATCGAGTCTGCACCAGACAATCCAGTGATCAACAGCAAGAGCATCGATCTGCGCAATTGGGAACCAAGTGTCAACCAAGTCGGCGAGCCTGACCACCCGTTAGTCGCCTCTTACAACAAGCATGGGTTACTGAAGGCTCATTCTAACCTGGACCTTCACGGGTCAGGTAATCATGTTCTGTGTTCTGATTGGCAGACATCTTCTGAAGAAGTCTGCCATTTTAGTGTCGTGATTATTATACTTTAAAGTAAGTTTTTTTATTGTCGCACTGAGCAATATGGCTGCGGCCTGTAAATAACTGGACCAAACAATCCAGTGATTAACAGCATGAGCATCGATCGACACAACTGGGATGCAATGACAACCATGTGAGTCTGACCACCAGATCCCTTTAGTCGCCTTATATGACAAGCATGGGTTGCTGTAGACCAATTCAGATCCGGATCTTCACTGGTACTTGGACATAATTCAGCCAGCATGAGGAAGTGAATTATATTGTGAAGGTTGAGGGGTGTTTGGACGATGTGAATCAGTGCAGAGGATCTTTCAACACTTTTTCTGTTGCATGTCACTGTGTTCTGGTGTCTGTCCCAGTTTTCATAATTTACTGGGCAAACACAGATAGCGCGAACCATTCCTAATTGAAGCTGTCAAATTGCTGTCCTTTTCTTCAGTGCTGAAGATTATATACAAAAGGTGCTTTTCAAATGAATAATATCTTTCCCAGCTCCAGGCCAAATACTACTGAGGCAGGTGGTGAGGCTCACTGACTGGGTTTAATGCATGTCATCGTTATCCCAATTGTGTAGATCGATGCTCATGATGTTGATCACTGGACTGGCTGGTCAAGACTCTATTTTTCACAACCCGCGACCATATTATATGCAGATTGGCACCATGTAGCTGGAAATGTTGCTGATTGCGGCGTTAAAGAACAAACAAACAAAACATGATATTACTTTGAAGAATTTTTACGTTAGTTTTTGTTTTTGGCACTGACAGCCTAATGCTCTGAGGCCTCCTCCTGTACATTCGTGACGACTCACCCCTTTCCATAACCTCCAAGAAGACTCGTCCCCCTATCGATGCTTGTTATGTGCGAAAATATGACAAACCAATCAACTCGCGTAATAGTTGCGGTGCTTTGATAAAAATATTCCCGACTCCTTAAATCGTTTATGGCATTATGTTATTGTTTAAAAAATCAAGAAAATTTTATATCATCATATTGAAAGTACAAAGATCGTAGCTAACAGGATTTTGCTGCCTATTATGAAGTTTTTAATAAGAATCATGCGTTTGACAGTGAGAGATTCAAATAGCCGCATGTGCGTTTGTTGACATAACAGCCCTCATCGGTCCAACTGAGCGTATTTCTGACGATCTTGCATGCTTGTTATGGAGATTGTATGTGCGCTTCGAACACTTTTAGGAAATGTAATTATAATCGCTACCAGTTTCACAACAATAATAATAACGTATTTGTATGTAACTAATCAACCTTAATCTTTAACATTGGGCTTATATTTAACAGCACTGGGAATATTTTAGTCTGACTGTGTTTTTTGGTAATTCATATTTTTTTCAGCGAATTCATTTAAAATTCCACCAGGTGTGTGACAGCAAGGTTACAAGAATGTTCAGTTTGAGAAATATTTTAAAGTCATTTTTGAGTATTTGCTCTGGGATTTAATGTAGCTGAAAAATATTATTTTATTTGTATATTCAATAAAACAATTCCCATTTGTGATTATTAAACCCTGTTTAGAAAATTAACATAATTGCATTAGAAATATGTTTTTCTCCTTCTTTTATTTGTATCCAAGAGGTTTAATTCTTTAAAATAAATAGTAAAAAAAAAACCAAAACAACAACCTAGCAATACAATGTACATGTGCTTCGGTGATATTCAGAAACTTTGGAATCAAACAGGGATAGAGTTATCGTTCTTGTTAAAAGTAGTTCTGATGTTCATGCGCCAATATGAAATCCTCCCAGAGGGGCACGAGTCGCTTTTCGGCTTGTCACGAATGGAATTCGGGCTTAATCTGTAAGAGTTGTCTCTTTTTGATAACCAAAAATAAGAGTTGTCTCCTTTGACCGTATTTCTAAGGATTTGTAACACGTTGAGATTAGTCTTTGAATGCCACAAGTCGCCTCTATTCGCTCGCAGTCTCTTTCAGTGATTGTACCAAGACAAATTGCCTTTTGCTCGCAAGAAAATCTTTCGCAGTATGTCACCGACCGTATAAGCAGGCTTATTCGCATATGTGGTGTTTAATGCAGTGGTCTATATCAAGTGTGTAAGAGTTGTCTCCCTTTGACAATGTTTTTGTCTTTTAGAGATTGACCATTGCAAACAAGAAAACTGATTGTAAATTTACTCAGACCCTGCATCTGAACCTGTTGCTATGTGGTGTTTAGCCCACGGTACTGGATGAAATTATTCACTTAAATGATGTTTTACCTTCCAGGGCCCGTAGCACAACAACAGCCATTAACTCCCATTGTTAAACATAGACGTACCTGACTGCCGTAGCGTTACGATCGCTTTGAGGAACGGGCCCCAGCTTTGTTATGTGATTGAAATGTTTTTGTGCATGTTTGTGCTGTACATGAATTAGTGCATTGTTTTATGAAATGACTACTTTGTTATTTAAAACTCTTTGGGGGTAAAATATTGTTGATCAAACTGTACTTTACATTAAATATATCCACACCATCCAAGTTTTGTTTAGGAGATAAACAGACTGTGTGGAAAAATCAGAGGTATATAACGAAATTATAATAGCTTTAAATTTAATGCCTCCTGTAATGCCTAGTAGAATGGTCAGGGAACTGAGGACATTGACCCACATAGCATTCGGACGTTGGCCCAACGTTGGCAATGTTGGCAAAACCATTGCCAACGTTGGGTCAACGTCTGACTGCTATCAGGGGAACAGCTGTTGGGGCAAAACCATTCAGACAATTTGTCTGATGTCACTGAATACCAAGGAAGCTGCTCCAAATGTTGAATTCAGCCCTTAAGGCATGGAAGGGGCAGTGGGGTAGCCCAGTGGTTAAAAGTGTTGGCTTGTCATGCTGAAGGCCTGGGTTCAATTCCCCACATTGGTGCAATGTGTGAAGCCCATTTTTGGTGTCCCCCACCGTGATGTTATTGGAATATTGCTATAAGCGGCATAAAAACAAACTCACTCGCTCACTAAGACATGCATTGTTCTGTTTGCTGCAACCCATAGCAAAATATTGTCTACTCCGTGTAGTGTGATGCAATAATTAGTTTTAGTTTGTATGTTATAATATGTTCTGTGATGTTTTCAGGAGGTGCAGATTGATAGACAGCTGAAGCCTGGAGTCCGAGTCACGGTCAAGTTGGCACCACAAGAAGAAGGTAGGCCTGATTCTGTTCCTCTCCAGTCTGTTGTTGCATATTGGGGCAGCTTTACTCACTCGGACACTCTCCGCTATGATCACTCGCCTTTGTCGTTCTTTAGAAGAAGTACATAAGTGGCACAGAAGTCCACTCCAGAGCTCCAGATAAGATTTAGCTCATGTGGGTACTGTACCCACTGTATTTTTTTGGAGTGGGTATTATAAATGTTGAGTGGGTATTTCATTTTCCGTTACCCACTGCTTCCAAATATGTGCGTATTTCAGTCATTTTACTCACCTAAGTATTATGTCATTGAGTAAGTTTACTAAGCAGGTATGTTCTGCCTTATGTCATACCTAATCAAAACCAACTTAAATATATTGGAAATGATTTCATGAAAAATCACTCATCCTATACTGACAGTACAACAACAGTCCTATACTAACAGTACAACTTGATAGCAATCGATGTCTTTTTCATTATGCAAGCGATTTTTAGAAATATATTCGGTACGCATTTGTTTTAAACTGTTTGCGTATCTAACATTTTAAATGCGTAATTGGTAAGCAACAATTATTTTTCAATGCGTAATTTGAAATTTTATATGCCTATTTTACCCGGATACGCAGCTTATCTGGGCCTCTGCACTCAACATCCATTTGAACAAACACGCCTTATTCACTATCTTTTGTCCTCCAGACTGTTACACTGAGGGGAAGGCATGACCCAGGCTACACACTCACTCACTCACTCACTTTATATGCTCACCCAAACAAAAAAAAACATATACACACTCACACAAACCCACCCACCATCCATTCAATCGGGTGGTGGGGTAGCCTAGTTTTAAAGCGTTCGCTCATCACGCCAAAGACCCGAGTTCGATACGCACAGAGGTACTTTGTTGGAAGCCCACTTCTGATGTCCCCTGCCATGATATTGCTGGAATATTGACAAAAGAGGTGTAAAACTCACTCACTCATCTTTTATCTCCAGACAGGAAACACGTGAGGGGAACCGTGGTGTCCCCCAGTAGTCCACGGACCGAGGCCGGCCTGTACTGGGGCTACAGCGTCCGTCTGGCCGCCAGTCTCGGCGCAGTCTTCACCGAGTGCCCCTACAAACAGGGCTACGATGTCACCATCGGCACATCAGAGAGAGGGGGCGACGTCGACGATTTCACACTTGACAAGTTTTCGTGAGTAACAGTTGAGGACATCTGTGAAATGTTTTTTTGGGAATGCGGGTGGACTGCTCCGGAATGAAAGTACTTTTGATTAGTTTGCTTTCACTCACTTATTCACTTGATCTTACAACTGGGCCTCATTCCGTAAAGCAATCTTACTGTTAAGGTAACCAGAACTGCCATACATTAACATTGGCTTAAAAGCACGAATTATCCCTTTTCAGAATGGGGAGCTGATTTTAGAATAGGGGCCCTGATGTGCAGGAAAACACTGAAAGTAATGAGATATTCTTCAGGCAAAAATGTAATAATTATCATATTTTCATCACCCCCATCATCCTTCCAAAACAGCCCACTTCATATGTTGTTCAGAAATACCTTTGTAAGGAATGTGATTTATGGATTCATGTTCTTGGTGCAGATAGATACCCATCAACTTTTTATATGAAATAAAACACATAAAAGTACCACATTTTTAAACAAATTGGCGAAAAATGAAGTAATTAAAGTATTGTTACCTCAGCTTCTTGTCATCATCAGGGAACGAACACCCAGGGAGTACACTTGAGATGCTATTGATTCTGCTGTGCATAAGCCTGTGTGTGTTTGTTACAGCCATGCTCTGGTGGTGTTTGGTGGAGTCCATGGTCTAGAGGCGAGTCTGGATGCTGACGAAGGGCTGAACGTGGACGACCCAAGCTTCCTCTTCCAACACTACCTCAACACCTGCCCTGACCAAGGAAGCCGCACCATTCGGACAGAGGTCAGGCCCTTGACCTGATAATGTCTATTATGTGCTGATCGCACAGATTTATACAGGCATAGATAGATTATAGGTTCGGGATATAGTTGTTAGTTCAGCAGTCCCATGTTATAGTCCGTTTGGCACAAGAGAGGGTCGATGAATTGCAATCTAATTCGAAAACTAATAAACATATAATACCCATTGATACACTGATCATAATCAAAACATCAAACCAACTCTGTGAGTTTTTTGCAGAATTTATGTCCAAAAAATAAAACATTTAAAAAACTATCATTAAAATTTTGACACAGTTCACTATTTATTACGAGGAAGGAGTGCAAAGAGAGGAACAGTCAGTTTCTGAGTGTCAGGAATACCACAAGAACAACCTTATGCTACACATTCATCGACATCATCACAGAAATACAAGAAAACAATTCATCCGGATTGAATTTATTTTTTCATGTTTACTCTGTCTACAATTTATGCAAATGTGCAACATCTTGTTTTGTTTGCAGGAAGCGGTCCTCATCACGATGTCCAGTCTTCGTCCCAAGTTCGTCGAGGCAGATATGAGAGGGAAACTTTCATGACAATGATGAAGTGTCACATTAATCATCATCATCATTGTTTAGTCATTGACAACACCATCCATTCATGCACTACTTATGGGTAGTACTGTACAATGTGAGAACCCCGTTTATGGTGAACCCGACAATGCATGAATATTGCTAAAAGCGGCGTAAAACTAAACTCACTCACTCTATCATTCAGTACTTTTTGTACATTTTAAAGCATAGCCAAAAGACAGCACTAGAAGTGTCCTCAAGTTGGATTACTCCCATGAGAGAGCTAAAGCCTGTTTAAATTTGTGGTAAGAGAGATTGTGACGTCACTTCTGAGCCAAACCAATGTTTGTGAAAGGGTCGAGGATCTATATCCGGAGTGAATATGAAGGATCAATGGATGAGGCTGCAACACTGGATTTCAACGCTTTTATGATGAAAGACAAGGTCTGAAGAATTCATGGTTGAAAAACTACTGTACTTTTTGTACCAACATTACAGTTTTACGATAGTCATGAAATCAGTAGCCTCAAATTTCTGTCAGAAGATGTAGGGACAGTTCATTTACCATCCAGGGGTGTCAGGGTGGTTTGAAGATAGGACTATATCATATTTTGCCCCCTCTAATTTTGGTAACATTTTGTTATGACCCCACCCCTTCCAAATAATGTATAACAAATGGTTATTCCATGTTTAGATTTATTTTTAGCAAAAGTAATTTTGCTCTCAGTGTCATTTTTTCAATCAACCCCTCCCTTGATCAAATATAAGTGCATCTTTTTAATTGCAACAGCCATTCATAAGGGTCTTGATTCGATAAACTGTAAAGTTGTACATAACTGCCAAGAAATTCATCATTTTATTGTGTACATTAAAGAAATATCATCATATATTGTAGTTCAGCCAGCTAAACGTCGTGTTCCAACCAAGGTATACACCAACGTGGGGCACTGTATACCTTAGTAGGAACACGTTTAGCTGGCTGAACTACATATATTGTAGACCATTACATAATTATAATGTGTTTTTGCATCATGTCCATTTGTTTTGTACAGCTAATTTGTCTGTAGACTGATTAATTGGTGAGTAGAAATATTTCCAGTAGTTATTAGTGGAGCAACTGTTATATGTATATGATACATACTGATCTGTAGGGCAGTTGGGTAGCCTAGTGGTAAAAGCATTTACTTGCCATACCAATTCCCAACATGGGTACAATGTGGGAAGCAGCTGTGTCCCTGTTTTGATATTGCTGGAATATTGCTAAAAGTGGCGATAAACTGTACGACACTCACACTGCTGATATTTCATCAGCTTTGATTATGTCACCATTGTCAACCAAAATCAAAATAGTGCCTCAGTTTTTAACAAGTAGTTTTCAATTACAGTCGAGCACTGGTGTCTTGATATTCATGGGACCAAGAAAAAATATCGAGTTATCCAAACTTAGAGACATCCGACCAGGGCATATCGTCACATATCCCTATAAATGAAAACAAAGTGCTTCTCAGATATCCGAAATATCAAGACACCCGTATTGAGTTAAAAGAGCTAGAATAATGATAAATTATGAAGGATTTTACCGGACCGAGATGTTCTATCAAGACAACAGGGATATCGAGTTATCAGAGTTTGACACAACTGTGCACAACGGTGCTCGAGTGTAGTTCTTTACTGCCATGCATGTCTTTATTGTAGATTTACAGAGTCTTTAATGACAATTTTGATTTGTAGCTCAAAATGTTTTTTAACACCTTACTTGAAGAATTTTATGACCTTGTGTGGATTAGTCACTTCATACAAGGAAAAAAAGGTTGTTACTGTTTAGGTGTTTCAGAGGTCAAAGATTAAACTTATTATATGAGAAATAACACTTGCATTTTGTTCAGTTTTAAGTTTTATCAGTTGTGTTTTTATGATGGATTTGGTCAGTTCAGCAAGTCAGAGAATTGATAAAATTTAAAACTGTTAACCAGAGCATTTTCAAGAGCAAATTTGCTGAGCCAGCATGTTTATCAGATATTACCTGTTTTAGTGTTACCCGATTGTTGCATTGTACATGTAGCATCCTAAAGCCCTAATGTTATCATGATAATGTAGTGGACTTTTGCAACAAACCACATCAATTTCAAATACTGTATCTGATGAATGATCTGACCCTAGAAATATATAAATGAAATAATGAAATGTGGGGTTTTGCTCTAGTTTCTTAACACATTTGTTTTGTTGTTTTTTTGTTTTAAAGTATTGTGTACAGGGTCCTGGTTGCTGCTCAAACAATCCACCAAGGACACGATACCCGTGCTCCTGTATTGATAACACCTCCTGCCTATTGTTTTGTTTGTTGGTTCTCCGGAGACCCATCAGTAGCCATGGTGACAACTGTTCGAGGCTTTTGGAAAAGGAAGGGTCATTAATGATCTTGTAATTCACTTTCAGTAACCTAAAAATGTTTTGGAAACAGGTCTCCAAATGTGTTATCTGTAATGTTGTTTTACTTTAACTTTCATTATACCTGGTCACCTGTAGAATGTCCAGTGTATAAATGTCTAGTGGTCAGGCTGCTGACTTGGTTGACACATGTCAGCATATCCCAATTGCGTAAATTGATGCTCATGATGTTGATCACCAGATTGTCTGGTCCAGGCTCGATCATTTACAGACAGCCACCATGTAGCTGTAATATTGCTGACTTACACATCAAACAAACTCAAATAATTACAAATTTGTAACTGTCACAGTGTGCATTATTCACTCACTACGAGAGATTTCACAAATAGTGAAAACAGCATATATAGTATGACCAGAAATTATTGAGAATTTTAGGAATATGTTTAATTGGATTTCTAGTATAAACAACCTTGACTAGAGTGCTTAGTTTCATGCAAGAGAGACAACTCCATTAATCCTTTTTCATTAGTTTGTGAAGAGTTATCCCCCTTTGTTTACTTGCTAGCAGAGGCCATTTTCAGTGATCCTCAGTATGGGTGATTTAGAGAAGAGGAAGTTGATTTAGAGTATTATAACAAGGACATCAGATCAGCTAAAGTGATTTCAAGTAGAACAGGCATCCCTTTGTCCACTGTTTATCGTGTTTTGAAAAATTTTGCAAATGGATATGGCATTAAGCACCAGGGAGGCGCAGGTAGGCCCAGAAAATTGATTGTCGGTGACATGAGGCGGCTTGGTATTCTTGTTTCTAAAAACAAACGAAGGAGTTTAGAAAACTTAAGGCTGGATATGATTGATAGAGGAACTGTGGCTGTCTATAAGGAGACAATTGGAACTGAGCTGCATGCAACTCGTTGGCAGAAAAGTCCAGGAATTCCATCACCGATCATGAAACCTTAACAAAAGGAGCAAAGGTTGAACTGGTGCTTACAGCATAGACATTTTAACTGGGACAATGTGATTTTCTGAGTTGAAAGTTCTGTATGGCCGTTTCCTAATCAGGCCTACCATACAAACGGTGACCATATCATCAAAACTGAACTCATATACACCAAAACAGAACAAAAATTACCAAAACTGCAACAATATCCTCTAAAACCGAAACAATACATCTGTAATGGAAGACTAATCGTTTGAAATGTAGAAATGATCACTTAGATATGCAATTCAAGGAAAATGAACAAAGTGTTTGTAAACTTTTAAATCACTAAAATATAGTAATGTTGAATGTGACGCTATGAACACTTTATTTACAAAACTGAAGAGAAACTGTAGCACGGCATGTTGACAAGAAATCCAATTCCGTCGAACGAGGGACCACATTGTGTAGAATTGCAAGCCTGACACTGAGATGTATGGACATAGGTTTGAAGCTTACTACAATAGGGGGTTTATGCACTACATCCCGATATCAAATTTTCAAGATTAGACTCATAGTGACGAAAAACAATTAGCTATGAATACATCCCTTTGATTTGCCAGGACACTGATCAAACCCCAGATGGGTGAAGATGATTCTTTGTTTCTCAGAACTAAAAGATGGAAGTGAAAAGTCTTGCATGATAAGCTCACCTCAAGATGGAGGGCAGTAAAGAAAGCACAACACACTCCCTGACAGTTGGTACAATCATGTTTTATTATCTTGCACTGACCTTGACATCTGGAGCCATCTGGTGGCGACCCAGAACCAACATATACAATATGTACAAAACAAACTGTATACATACCGTGTTCACTTTATAGTAGGGTAACAGACGTTTGGATTCACCTCCACTTAAGGGCATTTTAGCATCATCTGCATTTCTTGAAGAACACACCTTTATACCTCAAAATTGTTGAAAAATACATGTACACAAAGTCGTGTCAGAATTTTGAATTTGTGGCATTCGTAACTACTCGCCTCTTTCCGTGACCTACAAGAAGACTCGTACCCCTATCGTACGCCATTTTTGCCAAGAATCGTGGCAAACCAATCAAATCGCGCGTAGTAAAACGCATTTCGAAGCATGAAAATGGCGGTACCGTCGAAGTTTGAAACTTCGCTAAACTATGCAAAGCACAATTTAAACATAAACTTTGAGCTAAAGGACCAGAAAGTTAAAACACTGAAACATACTTACAAAGGGAATGACTGTATTGCTGTTTTGCCCACGGGATATAGGATATTCAAGGAGCCATGTTTTGAAATTCAGAGTTATCTTTCCTTGGTAATAGTGCTAGACTATTTTCCTCTCCACGCCCGTTTGCGCTTAGACAGGGCCCAGTCGTAAACATGGCAACGAGAGGCTTGCCGGAATGACACGAGTAGTTACGAATGGAATTTGTGGATGCCTTCCGGTTTCTAGAGCCTTCAAAAAGTATCGATATTAACACTCTCAGCTTAACTGTTTGGAAACATCATTATTTCATTAGTTCAGAAAAGAAAATTTTACTTCCTCAGAAAACACTTTTGTCTCTGTTGGACATGATGAAATAAGAACCAAACAAGTGCCTCTTCAGGCGAAAATCTTGATAAAATACATATTCAAAGAATACAAAGAGTTTTTTTTTGTAAAACATTGGCAACGTTTGTGCATTATGATAAACTAAGCTATTTCTAAAAACAAAGGAATGAAATGACAAATTAACAAAACGTGACTGACTTGTGACTGATAATACAAGAAAATCATCATACATGAAAATATACAGATCTCCAGGACAGTCTGACAGCTGACCACTTGGACACAAACCATTGTCAGACAGAAATACACAGCTGGTGAAGTCGGTAACATCACATTCAACCTACAGATAAGCAATGTGGGTCAAACATCTCACATAAACAATAGTTCCCAGTGTTACATAAGGCATACATCTATAAGGGGTACACCCCACAGGCGGACTTGTGGAAGGGGATAGCCTGTAAACAGACAAACTTTTAATGTGATCAGAAACAAACTAGGACAAACACATTTATGTTTATAACCTCGAATACACAGTCCAGGAACTGTTCGCTATCAAACTGGAAGATACAAAGTTTTTTGGAGACAAAAAAAAATAACCTCTAGAACAATAACAGAAATTTGACTTCACGAAAATACAAAAGAAAAATAACATCGATGAGTAGACAAAACCAACCTGCAACTGCCAAAACAATGTGGGCGTTCAAAACACCTCCCCCAAGTCCTGATTTTGTCCATCACTGTCACCTCAGCATCCAGTGTTTCACAAAGTGTCAGATTTCAGAAATAAATGCTTTGAGTTTCACTCTTGATCAACTTCAGAAGAGGTAACAATGACCTATAGAGATGAGAGATGTTCTATTTTACACAGAAATATTTACAAGAAATGTACATATTAACAAATTCAACAATGTTTAAAATGTATTGTCATAAACTAACCACTGATTCATTCGCATGTAACAACGTAGCAAGTGTTTAAGTAAACCAACTAGACTATCACAGTTTCTTCCAATGTTCACATCCTGTGAATCTACAATGGATAAATACATCAACCGGAATGTCTTGGTATATCATCTCCTCATTAAATTATTTTTAATAAATAAATATCTCGGCCTGTTTGAAGCACACAAATTAAAACATGATATTTAGAAACCTATTGGTAAAGAAAGAATGCCAAATAATATCTTTGTTTTTTTCACACTTCCATGCCATTTTGAGTCTGATTTAAAGAATATTCTTGGACAAGGACAAGGGTTCAAATGAACATCTATTTTTAATGAGTACATGGCAGTGTTTAGGTGTTTATTCTTTCTTTAAGCCTCATAGGTGACCCTGTAGACCATCACGCTGCCCGTGCTGACCGACACAGCCAACCGTCGGCCGTGGACAGTCTTCTGGAAGGAGATCCCCACACCATCCCCGAGACTTGACCCGTCAGGCATCACGCCGCCCATGCTCACATCAAGGCTGTTCACCCATCCGATTCCTTCGTTCTTCAGTCCGCAGAAAAATACATTTCCATTGCCATCCACAGTGACCCCTCTGAGCCGAAGTGTCGGATCAGCCACAGGTATTCTCTCTACCTCTACCTGTTGTTGGTCTGCATGTATACGGAACAAACAGTTCCGTCGCGTGTCGGACACTACCACTGAGCTTGGGGACTCGGTCGCCATGTTATAAGGGTTCTCAAACCTGTTTCCTAATGATGTAATGTAACAGCAATTATTGTAGCCTAAAATGTCCACGGTATCTGTTGTCCCGGCCAGGATTTGTTTGATCTCCGATAGATGCGCGATGCCGAAATATCTCCTGTTGGTCGGATGCATTACTGTCGAAAACTTCACTTTACGTTCCTGTAACTTCACAGTGATCGTGGCGATCTTTCTCAAAGACGGCAGCGTGACAAGGACCGTGTCGTCGTCCTTACGGCAAATTCCGTGTATCCGACCAGCGTCTGTGCCGATTTTATCGAAGTAATGATCCCCTAGAAAAGTTCCTTTTTGGCTGAAAGCCTTCAGACAGCAATTGGCCCAATCCGCGGCCAATATGACACCTGATTTCAGTATCAACACCGACCTGATCTCTGGAGGCACCTCGTCACCCTCATCACCCTGATCAACAGCAGAGGAAAACTCTTTTAGGAGGGAAAATCTGGGTATATCACCGTCACGTGGAACGTTGTCATCCACCTCCATTCCGGACATCTCAAGGTCAACGCTCGACCCTTCCTCGGGGATGTGGACGATGTTCCTGGCGTCATGAGACGTACACGTCACAGAATGCGTGAACTCACAGTCCACACACATGGCCATGTCACAGTCGTG